GAAAAAAAAACAAAAAAAAAAAAGTTTTCCTTTTTTCTATTTTTCCTCTCTCTCTTTCTCTCTCTCTCTTCCCCACTTCTCCCGACTTCCAAATTCTGACAGCTACCCTTCCCACTTTGATTCCTTCCGCTTTTCCTTTTGTTATTTCGGTAAAAAAAAAAAAAAAAAAAAAAAAATTTTCGAATTCGAATTCGAAAAAAAAAAAAATTGTAATTTATTTTTAAGAGTCGTAAAAATGGACATTAAATGTGGGGGGTTCCTATTTTAACAATATTAATTACAATAATTACAAAAAAAAATTACAACAATTCTATTGACGTAATAATAACGACGGAAACGACAGCAAATTATCTAATATCATTTCTCCCTGATACCATTTCTTCCTCCCCCCCCCCCCAAAAAAAAGAAGAAAAGAAAAAGTTTTTTTTTTTTTTTTAAAACATATTTCAACTCATTCTCATATAATTTCCCCTTTCCCTCCCCCAAAAAAAAACTAATTACGTAATAAAATAATTAATAAAAAAAAAAAAGAAAAAAATTTTTCCCCGTTATTAACGTTGATAAAAATTACTTTCGAAAACTATTATTATTATTAATTTATTACTATAATTATTATTATTATTACTTTTTTTTAATTATTTTTTCATCATCGAGTAATATATATATATACGTGCATCCAATCTCTCTCTCTCTATTGTTTTTCTCTTGAAAAAAGAGAAGAAAAATAAAATCATCATCATCATCATCGTCGTCGTCGTAATGAAAAAGAGTTATAATTAAAAGGGTAATAAATAACTTAGCGAGGGTAACAAATTAAACGAACCGTAAGAAATTAGGTGGTACGGGGATGTGGGGGGAGGAGCGAGGGGGGGCGAGGGGCGCACACGAACCATAAAAAAGAAAACCACCGAAAAGTTAAGTAAAATTATTCGTCGGCGGTAAAACTCATTGAGTAATTAATTACCTGTAACAATTTGTATTTAATGTTAATCAAACGAGATCCACAGGTCTAAACGTATTATTTACAGTTTACACAGGGTGGCCAACTTAAATAATAAATAAAATCATCATCATTATCCCAAAACCTTTAGAGAAAATAAAAAAACAAAACATTTTTTTCGAGGAAAACTTTTTTTTTTTCTCTTTTTTCTTTTTTTCGGAGTGAAAAAAAAAAAAAAACAAAATGTCACATGATTATTTAAAAACGACATGTTGCCGACGATGATGATGATGATGATACTTTTTAGTTTATTTAAAATACGACAGAGCGCGTCGTTAAGAAAATGAGAAAAATCCTTATTATCATCATCATTAGTAGTTTTTACATTCGTCGTAATATTTTCACGTTTTCTTTTCTTTTTCTTCTCATCTTCATCTTCTTATTCCTTTCGTACATTTTTTCATTTATTTTCTTTATTGGAATGGTTAATAAAATTTTGTTTGAAGAAGAAAAAGAAGAATCCGAAGAAGAAAAAGGAGAGAAGAACTGTTATGACTGGCGTGACGTAAACTTTTGTTTGAAAGCTTGAAAAATTTCACGTGCCTTGAATATTTTCTCTATGGATTAAATCAATTCGTGATATAAATTTTCTATGAACTTATTTTCCGCCTTCCACTTTAAATTTTTCCCTTTTTTCCTTTTTTCCCAACATTCTCATTTTGTTTTGTTTTCTTCTTACTTTACTTACTATTATTACATTTTTTTTCTTCTTCTTCCACTTTTCTTTTTTTTTGTTTTACCGTTTAAATGCATTTAGTCGGTTTTACGACTTTTCAAACCGAAGCTTACTTACGGTTTTTTTTTTTTTTTTTTTGATTTATGATCTTTTTTATTATTTAAATCCTTCGGTAAATTTTTTTTTTCCTTTTTTCGAAACTTTTAGTTTCGAATCTCCTTTTACCAACGAAGAGATTTAATTTTTTTTCCTTTTTTTTCTTTCTTTTTTTGTTCGACTCGGTTTTTTTTTTGTAAAAAGCAAACAACAGCAAAAAAATAACAGTAAAAGGTTAAATAGAACGAAAAAAAAAAAATTTTAATTTTAATTTGTTTTACCTGTTGAAAATACCTTTTTTTTCTCCTAACATTATCATTATCATTCATGATTTACCTGAAAAGTAATTACGTAAAAAAAACGAAAAAATTTTCTTTTTTTGTGTGTGTGCTCGTGTACGTGTGCGCGAGCGTCGCCTTTTAATCTTTTTAAAATGGTCATTTAATTAAAAGTTAATTGCTTTTGCGTGGCAGCAGAAGAAGAAAAAGAGAAAGAAGAAGAAGAAAGTACAAAAAAAATTTACCGACATTTTTCAACAGGATTTCATAAATTTTTTTTTTCTTTTCTCTCTTTCTTGTATATAAATATAAATCGATTAAAAATAAAAATCATTTAATGGCGGATAAACAAAATTAAATGAAACGAAGTAAAATAATTTAAAAAAAAAAAATAAAAGAAAGCCAGAGAGAGAAAAAAATGAAAATTGATGGGGAGCGAAACAGAGAGAGAGAGGAAAGCGATGGAAAATGGGGGAAAAGGGTGGGGGCAGAAGGAAAATGTCAAAACATAAAAATAAAAAAAAATTTTCCCAGTTCACCAAGTTAAGTTATTGAGGGCAAGAAAAACGTCACAAACATATAAAAAAAAAATAAAATAAAATAAAAAAATAAACGAGAAAAAAAAAGAGAAAGAGAATGAAAAAGAAAAAGAAAGAAAGAAAAAATTAATTTGAACACGTTTTTTTTGTACGTACACACAACAGCAGACAAAAAGAAAAAGGGAAAAAAAAACATTTGTTGAAAAATAAATACGAACCGTGAATGATTTAAAATAATAATAATAATAATAATAATAGTAATAATAATAATGATGATGATGATGAGAAAGGTGTAGAAGAAGGATGAACGATAAAAAAAAAGAAAAGAAAAGAATGAAAAAAAGTATCAAAAAAATTACGACAGCAAAATAAAAAAAAAAAATTTTTTTTCTTCCTTCTCCTCTCCTCCCCTTCTCCCTCCTCCTCCTACCCCCACGAAAATGCATTATTCATTTTTTTACTTTTTTTTCAGTTACCCAAAAATTTAAAAAAAAAAAAAAATTTCCTTTCGAATTTATCGATTTTTATAAAAAAAAAAAATGAAGTTAATATATATAGAAAAAGCAAATTATTTCCAATTTTCTACTTACACGACAATTTTTTTTTTTTTTTTTTATGCAAAATAACGTTTTATAATTTTTTATATTTATACATGTATAAATCATTATTTTTAAATATTAAATTAAATTTTTCTTTTCTTTTCTTTTCTTTCCTTTTTCTAGAATAATAAATTTTTTTCTATTTTGTTATTTTTACCCCTACAAATTACCAACAAAAAAAAAAAAATAACAAACGTCACAACAAATTGGTTGTTTTATTTTTTAATTACAACAACAACAACCACAACAAAATAATTTAAAATTTTTTTTTGCCTTCCTCGTTTACTGCCCATCCATTTAAACAAAATCAAATATGGCGGTATAATTAATAATAAATTTCTTCCCTCTCTCCTTCTCTCTATTTTACTTTCCCTTATTTTCCCCCAAATTTTCCGTCTTTTATTTTTCTATTTTATATATATTTATACAATTTTCATAAAATTATTTTGAAAATATATTGTGCGTGGCCATTTTTAAAATTATTCTATAAAACATTCAAAAACAAAATCAAGGAAAAAAACGAAAAGAAAAGAAAAGAAGGGATGAAGTAGTCAAGATCGAATGAAGGTCTGGCGGGGGGAGGGGAGGGGGGGGGTTTGGTGTTGTGATGGAAGTGGGTAGAAGAAGGGAGAGTGCGCAAGGGTTTTAAAATTCTAAAAAGGGATGAATAATTAACAGTAGTGCCAAAGGGTTGATTTATTGCGACAGACCACGTTTAGAAATGAAATGTGTATTAAGGTTGAGGGTTTTACCCGTCTACTAAATCTAACGCAACGAATCCTTAATCAAAAAAGATTTTTACCTTTTTAACTACTACCGGACAACAGGAGGAAAAAGAAGAAAGGAAAAAAAAGGTTTAAATAAGGTTCACTTGGTAACACGGTTAATTTTTTTTTTTTTTTACATTTTTACTTTTATAAAAGTATATATAATAACAAAAATCTCTTTTATTTCCTTTCCTCTTTCCCCTTCCCCTTCCTTTCTCCCCTCCCAAGATTTTTACCCTTAAAAACTTTTCATTCCACTCATCGCAATTTTTTTTTTTTTTTCATCCCTTATATATACATACACAGACAATTTTTTTTTTTTTTTTTGAATTATTTAAAAATTTGTTATAAATTTATTTTTAAGTATTCCGCCCTTTTTTCCTTTTCATGTTTTCACCCTTCTTTAGTTTTTCCCTTTTTCTCTCCCCCACATTTTTTTTTTTTATTAATGGGATTTGGTTTGTAGTTTTCATTTTATTATTATTATTTTTTTTTTAAGGTCGATTTATCATATCTTCCTTTTTGACTTTTTTCTTTTTTTTTTTTTTTATTAAAATTTTCAAGTTAGGAAGAATGATGTATTATTGGGTGGGTTTTTTATTATTTTTTTTCTTCTTCGGAATTTTTTTTGGGGGGGTAAAAATTCGTGTTTTCATTTTATTAAACGTTTAAAAATTACATGAGTCGACGTATCTACGACGATGACGTCAACGATGACGACGAGGGGAAAAATAATGTTGTGTAAAATTCATTATTGTTTCCTAATTCGACACGTGATGATGCATGCACACTCGTTTGTGTTGTGTTGTGTGTTACAACCAACAATTTTACTTTCTCTCTCTCTCTCTCTTTCTCTTTCTCTTTCCCTTTTTGATTACTCGTGACACGATGAAAAAATAAAAACGATTTGATAACTTGCAAAAAAAAAAAAAAATAATAATTTTAATAAATATACGATGGAGGGGAGTGGTAATATGTGGGTATGATACAACCTCGTGAAAAAACATCGTTCGTGACATATTGAAACTGATAATCTGACAAATAAATGGATATTAGCGTGTTTATGATAGTCATTACCAACATTACGAAAAAAAAAAAAAGAAAAAAACGCAAACGAAATCAAAAACGTTGATGATTGTTTACCGATGACGATTTCAAATGAAAAATAAAATTTTTATCATTTAATTACTATTAATAAAAAATTAATCTTTTTTTTTTTTCGTTTGTTTGATTTCAGAAAAAGCACAGAGGACAGTTGGCAAGCATGTGCGCATTAGGATTTGTCTTATTCGGATTACTTTTAATAAGAGTTCTATTAATGGGAGCCAAATCTCCGGTTTTTGCCTCATCCGACAATCCTTCCAGTAGATGTTCGTCGAGTTTAACAAGGACATTAACTTTTTTCTACCTTCCGTCATTTAATTTTTTCCTTTTTATCTATCCGAAATGGTTGAGCTACGATTGGTCTATGGATTCAATACCGAGGATAGCATCCGTGTTCGATTTAAGAAACGTCGTTTCGTTTATTTTTTATTACGTCATTTATAAAATAATTAAATCCTCCGTTGGAAAATTGAAAGGGCCTAAATCTCAACCTACGGTCGACGATCTTTTAATATGTCACGTTTGCAAAGCTTATTTAAATTATCACGGATCTAATTTAAATAAAAATATTAATTATAATTATAATAATAACAACAACAACAACAACAATAATAATAACAACAACAACAACAACAATAATAACAACAACAACAACAATAATAATAATTGTTTGAAATTTAACAATAGAGAAAGTATGTACGTTTATAAAAGTTCGTATCAAAAATCAAAGTGCGATTGTTTAAAATGTTTACAATTAAAATACAAAAATTGGATTTTGGTTAACGGTCGCGGTTCGACGTCATCGTCGTCGTTATCGTCGTCGTCGACGATAACAACTTCCGGTAAATCCCCGAGTCAAATAATATTAATTTCATTAGCTTTTTTAATTGTACCTTTCATACCGGCAACAAATTTATTCTTTTACGTCGGTTTCGTCGTTGCCGAAAGAGTTTTGTACATACCCAGCGTCGGGTATTGTTTGCTCGTGAGCTTCGGTTGTAATTTATTATATAAAAAAATCAACAAGAAGGCTGTGATTAGATGTGCTACGGTAATTTTATTTACCACATTCGTGGTTAGAACGATTACGAGAAACAACGAATGGTACAATGAAGAAACTTTATACCGTTCTGGAATATCAATCAATCCGGCAAAATGTGAGTATCGATTAACAATAACAATAATAATAATAACAACAACAACAAATTAATTTTTTACTTTCGTTTTTTAAATTCTCCATTTTTATTTATTTATTTATTTATTCCTCTTAATAATAATAATAATAATAATAAAAAGGAATCTTCTTAATCGTCTTTATCGAGTGTTTATAGATTTAAACTTTAAACTTTGTTATTATTATGCAAGATATAATTTAATTAAAAATAAATTAAAGATTTAAAAATTTTATACGGAAAAATACAAAAAAAAACGGGAAGGGGGGAGGGGAGGGGAGAGAAAAAACCAATTTAAATTTAAATTTAAATTCAAATAGAAAAAAAAAAATAAAAATAAAAAAATAAAAGAATTAATTATCCGCATCTGTCTAGTCTTATTTAAAAAGAGGCTTTTGTTAATTTATTTTTTTATTTTTTTTATTTTTCGTTGTAATTTGTTATTATTTCATTTTATTTTTATTTTTCTCTCTCTCTATCTCTCTCACACTCTCTTTCTCTTTTTTGTCGTTCGTTTTATCCTTTTTAAATAAAAAAAAAAAAAAAAAAAAAAAAAACGGATAAAATCTTTGTTAAATTATAAAATGCGATATTGCATATATATACGGATTTCAAAAAAAAAAAAAAGGCGGTAAAAAAAAACGCTATAATTTTCATTTTTATTTTTCCTTTTTTTTCACCTCCCCCCCTCCCTTACCCTCCTCCTACCTCCTGAGTTGTTAATTTTACGTGAAAAAATAAAAAATCAATTTTTCTCATATAAATTACTACAATTATTACAATTTGCCTTTGCCATTTTTTTTTTTTTTTTATCAAAAAGTTTGCTACCATTGTTTTAACCGCGGGGGAAATAATAATAAAAATTTTTTTTTTTTTTTTTTTTTAAAAAAAAAGTCACACGAGTGCAATTCATGACGTGGAAAAGTTTAGAATATAGTTTTATAGCCGTGTGTTATATATATATATACCTTTTATTATATAGTTTTGAATTATTACTTGAACCTTTTGAAAAATATCAGTTTTTGTTAAATTAGTTTTTTTTTTTTTGTTACCCATGTTATTTTTTCATGCATGATTTACATAATGAATAACGAAATTTCCCCCACCCCTCCTTTTTTTCCTTTTTTCTTATTGATAATTTTCATTTTTTTTAACCAAAAAAAAAAACCCCCGTTTGAGATTATATTTTATTGTGCGAATTAAATAATAAAAAATAATTTATATTAGTTGATTCACGTTGAGTGAAAGAAATTTCAAAATGTCGCCGTCGTTATTATTATTCTTTTCTAACCCCACACTTGATAAAATCAAAGCAAATAAATAAATAAAATAATAAAAATGAAAAAAAAAAAAAAAAAAAAAAACGATAAATTAAAATGTACACTTTACCTTTTTCAAAGTTGTAAAACACAAAATTTAAATTAATAAATAAAAAAAAGAAAAAAACTAAATAACCACCAAACTACCCAACGAATAAACTAAAAAACTAATAAACAAGTAATAACTTGTCTCGTACCTTCACGAAAGAAATGACGTCATTAATTCTCATTGGACAATTATTTTCGTCAAATTTTTTCCGATTGGTTAATTTTTTTATTGTAATTTTTTTTGATTGGTCCATTCAAATTTTTTAAAAATTCGAATTTTCGAACGCGATAACAACAAGTTAATTACGAAAAAAACTTGCAAAGTGGAAAAAAATTTTTTTTCCTTCGTAGTTGATCGATTACGTTCGCGCGTTCAAGTTGTATATTACAAAAAAAAAAAAAATGAAATAAGCGACGGAAATAAATAAATAACGTTGTCGTGACGTTAACAAAACGTGTTTAAATAAATAAATAATTTTAATAATTTGTTATTTAATAGTAAATATCTGTGTGTGTATATGAAAAACGTTGGGAAAAATCAATGGAATTGATTTCTAAAGGTGTATTGATGTTATCGTTTGACATATTTTAAAAAAAATAATAATAATGACTTATTGTCAATATGAACATATTAAAAAGTAAGTAAATAAATATCTATGTACGTATGTATGCATATAAATACGTGTAAATTGTGAGAGAAAAAAAAAATTTATAACGTATATATATATGGTATGATATTAAAAGTCGTTAAATTGTCATTCGACACCCGATGGTAACAAAAGAAAATTTATATACGTTTACATTAAATATAATAAATACGTATTATAATATCATATTTTTTACAATAAATAACAATAGGTAGAAAAATATATAATTTATATATATATTATATTATAATGTATATTTATGTATATATACGTGTGTGCATAAAACAAATTAAAATCGGTTTTGTGCAAGTGCAAAAATAAATAATAATAATAATAACGTTGCATTGAGATTTAATATATATGTCAGATTTCTATTTTATTAATATTGAAAAATATAAAAACGGTATCAGGTACGATATAAGATTATATTACACAAGTTTTATACAATAAAAAAAACTGTTAAAAAAAATTATCTGGCATTTTAAAGAAAGTTACCAAAGTCACAATTAATAATTCTAAAGCCATACAACTTTACTAACTTGTTTTATATAAATATTTCAAAAACTTTCAAATAATTTTTCTTTTTTAAAAAAAAAAAGTTTTCCGTTTAAAAAGAATATAAGAAGAGAATATAAAGATGAAAACTCTTTCTGTGTATGTGTGAAGATACGGTTACCGAAAAGAGAGAACTGAAATTGAAGAGAGAGAAAAAGGTTACCCTAAAAAATTTCTAAGGTTTCAAACCCAACAAGAAGAAAAAGAAGAGAAGAAATCTTTTCTTAACTTTTTAACCTTTTACCGTAATTTATTGCATAAACTGTTAAAAAGATTGCATATTTTTTTTTTTTTTATTAAGAAATAAAAGGAATGAAAATCGGTTTTGAAAAAGGATGAAAGAAAAATGTCGGGTAAAAAAATGAAGGTAAAAGGAAAATGAAGATGAAAGAGAAAAATAGAGATGTTGATGTTTTACACGGTAGAAAATTATATATATATATATATATATATATATATATATATATATATTGTTATGATCCCGTACTCAATATTCACATTTATAAACTTTTTATAAACAAAAGACTGGCGACGAACTCAAATTGTTCTTCTTTAGAAGCGAAGCTTCTAAAGACTCCTTCTTTTATTTTATTTGCAAGTGTTTGCTCGAACATTCGAAACAGTTGACTGACGAAAGACCAAAGTAATATAGGCAAGCTACACAGCTTGGCGTTGGTTCATTTGATTTTTAGTCTAGCTGTAATAAGTTCTTGTTTATTAATATTAGTTTTGTGATAGTTTTAAGTGCTTGTTCATTACTTACAAAAATAAAGAACGAACCGAATATAACATATTAAAATTTTGGCGCAGTCGATGAAGGATCATTCTGAACGACAAGAAACCGGAGAATTCTTAAGTAATTCGTTTCATGTTGGTGGGTTTTAACTCTTTATCAGAATTTCTTTATATTGTAAGTAGTAGTAATAGGTAACTCATTTTGTGAACAATGCCTAAACTTGATCAACCTGTTTTCAACCCATCCCAAATACCCCTTGATTTCTTGTGTAGTCTAGTTCCTAATTTCTTTTCCGGAGAAAGGAACCAACTTAATGCATTTATCTCTGATTGTGATAATGCTATCGAATTGTCCTCTGAAGAGAATAAGTATCCACTCTTCAGATTCATCTACTCCAGAATCACTGGTAATGCCAAGATTCGAATTTCTTTGTACGATTTTGATAATTGGGATGACGTAAAAACGAAATTAATAGAATTATACCAAGACAAGAAACCCCATAGTCAACTGATAAAAGAATTGATTAATCGCAGACAAAAATCAACATGTATCCACTGTGAAGATAACACAATAAAATTGAAGGAAAAACTTAAAATTTTAGAAGTTACAGAATCCAAACTTGAAGTTGAAGAGAAAACAGATCCTTTACCAGAATCCAAACTTGAAGTTAAAGAGAAAACAGATCCTTTACCAGAATCCAAACTTGAAGTTAAAGAGAAAACAGATCCTTTACCAGAATCCAAACTTGAAGTTAAAGAGAAAACAGATCCTTTACCAGAATCCAAACTTGAAGTTAAAGAGAAAACAGATCCTTTACCAGAATCCAAACTTGAAGTTGAAGAGAAAACAGATCCTTTACCAGAATCCAAACTTGAAGTTGAAGAGAAAACAGATCCTTTACCAGAATCCAAACTTGAAGTTGAAGAGAAAACGGATCCTTTACCAGAATCCAAACTTGAAGTTGAAGAGAAAACAGATCCTTTACCAGAATCCAAACTTGAAGTTGAAGAGAAAACAGATCCTTTACCAGAATCCAAACTTGAAGTTGAAGAGAAAACAGATTCTTTACCAGGATCAATTCCTGCTCAAGAGGAAAAAGCACCCTCTACAAATTTATCTAAGAGAAAGGCTAAAGAAGCACCCTCTACAAATTTATCTAAGAGAAAGGCTAAAGAAGCACCCTCTACAAATTTATCTAAGAGAAAGGCTAAAGAAGCACCCTCTACAAATTTATCTAAGAGAAAGGCTAAAGAAGCACCCTCTACAAATTTATCTAAGAGAAAGGCTAAAGAAGCACCCTCTACAAATTTATCTAAGAGAAAGGCTAAAGAAGCACCCTCTACAAATTTATCTAAGAGAAAGGCTAAAGAAGCACCCTCTACAAATTTATCTAAGAGAAAGGCTAAAGAAGCACCCTCTACAAATTTATCTAAGAGAAAGGCTAAAGAAGCACCCTCTACAAATTTATCTAAGAGAAAGGCTAAAGAAGCACCCTCTACAAATTTATCTAAGAGAAAGGCTAAAGAAGCACCCTCTACAAATTTATCTAAGAGAAAGGCTAAAGAAGCACCCTCTACAAATTTATCTAAGAGAAAGGCTAAAGAAGCACCCTCTACAAATTTATCTAAGAGAAAGGCTAAAGAAGCACCCTCTACAAATTTATCTAAGAAAAAGGCTAAAGAAGCACCATTACTTCCTAAAAATAAAAATAAGAAAAAAGGTCTAAAAGTAAA